TGGGCCCATGCGCGGCCCAGCCAGCCGCCTGCTGCGTGGGAAGGGAGGAGGGGGAGGAGAGGGCTGCGTGGGAAGGGAGGAGGGGGAGGAGAGGGCTGGGGATGGGTGGGGAAGGGGAGGAGGCGGAGGGGGAGGAGGAGAGAGATCGATCTGAGAGGAGGAGGGGAGGAAGAGAGGGAGATCGATCTGAGCGGATGGGAAGGGAGGACGGGGAGGAGAGGGCCGGGGATGGGAGGAGGAAGGGGAGGAGGCAGAGGGGAAGGAGGAGAGGGAGATCGATCTGAGAGGGAGGATAGGGAGATTGAGATCGGAGAGGATAAGTGCGAGGCGGTTGTGGAGGAGAGGATAGGGAAGAAGGATTATATATTAAGCGTTGAATTTTAGTCCCGGTTGATAACACTAACCGGGAGTAAAGTTAGGATCTTTAGTCCCGGTTGGTAATACCAACCGGGAGTAAAGATCCTGGGGGGGCCTGACAAGGTCTGACAGGTCTAGAACCGGGACTAAAGATAATCTTTACCTACCGGAACTAAAGATTAAATATGCCCACTGTAGCCACCAACCGGGACTAAAGATATCTTTAGTCCCAGTTTTTAGTGGAATCGGGACTATTGTGGATTTCGGCCGACCGACCAAAGATGGTTTCTCCACTAATGTATAACTGATCCTTTGGAAGGCTAAAGTAGCCTTTTATGCCATAATTTTTTTTCACTGAACCTTTTATGCCATAATTCATGATAATAGATCGCTGTAGCCATGGGATTCGAAATAAACCAACAACTTGAAATAAAATTGGTGTACTATAGAAGAAATATTCTGAACAATTTCATTATGCATAGCTTAAATCTCATATCCATGTAATAAATCACACATTCCCATCTCAATCCATCCAATGAATCACAAATTCTTCATCTCAGTCAATACAATGAATCACAAAATTCTTAAAAAAAAAGAAAGGCCAAATAGAGGGGATGCCCAGCCGGCCTCCATGCATTCGTGCACCCGCATGAGAGGGCGCTGCAGGCCGCTGGCCGCTGCCGCCGCTGCCGCCACTGCCGCCATCCCCTCCGCTCCACTGCCGCCGCTAGATCTGGCGGAGGGGAGTGCGAGGTCACCGCACGCGCCTCCCTAGCCCGGCCGCCGCCGCCGCCGCGCCCTCCCGGCCGCCGCCGCTGACACAGAGAGCAAGAGGAGAGGACTTGGCGGGGAGGGGGAGGAGAGGGGAAGGGGGAGGAAAGGGAGAGGAGATCGCATGCGCCCGGATGTTGGATGGAGATGAGAAGGGCAAGGCCGATATTAAATAGAGAGGAAAGGGAGGGAATCGATAAGACCGGCTGAGTCTCGGACTTGGTGTGCGCGCGGCTAGTGAGGATATTTGTTTATACCAACCGGGACTAAACCAAATTAGGGCCTGACTAGACCTGGTACCTTCTTTGAACCGAGACTAAAAATGATTTTTCAGTCCGGTTGGTAACATCAATCGGGACTAAAGATCAAATTTTTTTTAACCAGGACTAAAAATAATATTTAGTCCCGGTTTAGGAATTACGGTGGTTTTTGGACGACCGATAAAAGATGGTTTCTCCAGTAGTGATACATGGCTACACAATACTGGATTGTTGTTCGGTTTAATTTCTTCCCTGTTTTTTCTGGCGAGGACTTATTTTCTGCGGTCATGTGACCAGTCGATATTGGTTCAAAAACAAGAAGAGTTAGCGAGTATTTTTGTTTCTAATGGTCTTTGGTTTGAAGCCATTAAAAATGATAGATCGAGAATGCAAGGGATGTACGCATAACTTATCCCAGTACTAGTTATGAAGTTCTGCAGCCCACATGCGTGCATTAAGCTCCTTTGCTTTGCAGATTTCTAGTTTTATGGTTGTTTCAGATGGCCATTAGTGAAATGGATAAATGATTATTTCCCACTAAAAGAGTGCCTTCTAATCAAAGAACTGTTTTTAAAAGGTCTGATAATCAATATATAATTTGCTTCTAATCAAAGAACTGTTTTTAAAAGGTCTGATAATCAATATATAATTTGCCGCTGGTGAGTTGTTTTTCGTTTTCCGGCAAATCACCTTCCAAAGTATGTGAACTTTTTGATATGCCACATGGGACAAAAGTAAAATTTTAGGTCGATACAGTACCATAAAAGTATTCTCCCTAAGGTCTTTGTTCGGTTAAGACCCCAAGATAGAGAGATTGAAGAGAATTAATTCCACACCTTAATAGGTGTGGAAATATCCTCCTCCAAATCACCTCAATCCCATTGTAGGTGTGATCAATAACACTACGCCAGATCCTCACACCTTTGATGGCATATCTGTGATGGGTATAAGTGCTGGTCAGTGATGATGGTCACCTTTGACGGGTCCTACGGGATGCCGTCATCAGTGAGCCATCTGGTTGCGACCCATCATAGGTAACTAGTCACCTGTGATGGGTCGAAAACGGAACCCGTCAGAGGTGAGTGAAACATCACCTCTGACGGTTTCCACTTCCGGCCTGTCACAGGTGATTAGTTACCTATGACGGGTCGCAACCGGATGACCCGTCAAAGGTGAGGTTTACTCACCTCAAACGGGTATAAGCCCTAAACGGTTTGAGGTGAGTTGCGCCACTGTATATACCTGAAGCGACCACCTACCTTCCATCACAAGCCGAGCCGGAGGAGATATTTCTTCTCCCGTTGGGGCCCGTACCCGGAGGAGATAAGGCTGGCTTGACTCTCTCCCTTTCTCCATTTCACTTGACTTGTCTCTCCCTTTCTCCATTTCTCTCCACTTCTCCATTTCTCTTTGTGCAGCGGCGGCCCGGCAGGGGCAGGAGGGGAGGTGCGTTGGCCTATCGGCGGCGCCGGCCTGGCAGGGGCGGCAACGCCAGCCCATCCGCTAGATCCGGCAGGGGCGGGAGGGGAGGCGCGGGAGGGTAGGCGTGGTGGCGGCGGATGGCGTGGAGGTGCAACGGCGGCAGATGGTGGGAGGGTAGGAGGAGGCGGCGGATGGTGGGAGCGCCCTCCCTCCGCCAGATCTGGAGGCCCGACGGCGGGAGGGAAGGCAATGGCGGCCCGACGGCGGCAGCGATGGCGCCCTCCCCTCCACCAGATCCGGCCGGAAGGGAGGCGGCGGCGGTGGGCTTAGGCGGGCGGGAGCGAGCGGCCATGGCGGTGGCAGCTACGACAATGATGACGGAGATGGTGGCTACGACGATGACGATGATGCTGACGGCGGCTGTGACGAAAACGATGAGCAAACCCTCCACCGACGGCGCCACCAGCTTCTACGCCTCAGACACAAACTTCGGATCCGCCCGCGTCGTCTTCTAGGTTCTCCACGATCTCCCCCCCCCCTTTCCCTATATGGTGTTCTAAATCAGTGCGAAAAAGGATTTGTGGCCTACTCGACTGTATTATCTTGCTAAATCCTGCTCTTTCTCTTTTTTGCATTTCTTCTGTGGAGCAAGGGTTCTACCAATTTACCTTGATTGATGTTAAAGAAACCAAGATCAGCTGAAGCATGGAAGCTTAGGTGCATCAAGTAGATATACTTCTAGTTTGATGAACATTTGATACATTAACTTGTTGTTGATTGTCTGATGTGAAAATTTGGTGAACATTTGCTCTATGGACTTGTTGTTGATTGTCTGATGTTAAAATTTCTAAATATTGGCTAGCATTGGCTAAAATTTCTAAATATTGGCTAGCATTGGCTGAGGCTAGCCAATATTTGAAATTTTTTTTTCGGATGTAGCTCATCACTGACAGTTGATATTGCAAAAGCCGTCACAGGTAACCATACCAGTGACGGCTTTGCACATACATGCCAACACAAGTGAGTCACCTGTGATAGGTTGCAACATGCCATGGGTTAGCGAAGACACTTACCTCTATCGGCCAGTAGAGTTCTTGCCTGAGGCTAGCCAATATTTGAATTTTTTTTTTCGGATGTAGCTCATCACTGACGGTTGATATTGCAAAAGCCGTCACAGGTAACCATACCAGTGACGGTTTTGCACATATATGCCATCACAAGTGAGTCACCTGTGACAGGTTGCAACATGCCATGGGTTAGCGGAGACACTTACCTCTGTCGGCCAGTAGAGTTCTTGCCCGTCAGAGGTGATTGTCACCAGTGACGGTCCTCCACCCGTCAAAGGTGACTGGTCCTTACTAGTGACCACTAATCTGTGATCAAGCGCAAACCCATCAAAGGTGAGGGTTTGGATCCATCAGAAGTGAGCTAATCCGGTGTAGTGAATCGAGCAAACCTTAACAAAATATGAATTGTTTCGTCTTAAGATTATTGTAATCTAAATTATTGAGTCAGATTATTTTTTTTACCAGCAGATTATTGTAAGCTGAATTATATAATAAGCTAAAGTAGAATAAGTTGTGAGTTGTTTGTTTCAATGGATTATTGGAGACATGGATTACTGTGTTTGAAAGGCTAAAGTCTATAATCCCCTCATCTATTTTATTCAGATGGATGGTAAATCTGATTAAAATTTTCAAGTCTCCGGGGGTAATGGGTATTTAGCCACCCAATAATTTGAAAAAAACACATTTGGAGGAGATTATCATATTATACTAATCTGGTTTCTAATCTATCAAAATAACCTATGTATTTATTTTAGATTAGTCCTAATAATCTAGATTATAAAAATCTTGAGCTGAGGCCTATGTCCATCGGAAATAGCGTGTACTTCCTGACATGTACTCTTGTTGAGTTAGTTTATTTGGGTAGAAAAACTAACAAATTTATTCCCAATAAGGGCTTCGCTCACCCCCCCACCACCTAGGAAAATCAGCTATTTTGTGGTAGGAGATGAACATCAACAACATTATAAATAAGGTATCTTATTTAGAAGAAATGAGCAATTTTGTGATACCAAAAATTTAGTGTAAAATTTAGCATCTCATAATACCTAGGTACCAAGAGATACCAAATTTACGATAGAAAAGGTAGTACCTCATGTTACCTTCTCAAGCACTGCAAAATTGCTCAAATGAAATACTTTTAGGAGCTATATTAAGTATTCACAGTTAACGTGTCAAAACAAACTGTACATAGTCTATTTTTACATAGGCCTGGTTCAAATATTGAAATCAAGCGCAGTCAGCTCATCAGCATCTGCTCTGCTGTGTTTATTTCCTGCTGTACCCGGTTAATTTACAGTTTGTCGAGCAGCCAGGATGCTTCGTGTTTTGCTTCCCTTCTTTGTTATCCTGCACCGTTTGATTCAGTGGCAAGAAGCACCCAACGAAAGTGGAGCAGCAGAAATAATCTTGTGCTGTCTCCGACCATATGCCAGATTCATGTTAGCAGCACGGCCACCTGTGTGTGTGTGTGCAGAAAATCGATCAAATGCTCGAGCATGGAAGATAGACAACCAAGAAAAGACAGGGCATAATTCTGACATTTTTACAACAGGTCAAAACGATCCATATGGCATTGAATAATATAGTATAGTAAACTATGAAGCAATGAAATTTAATCAAAACCATGTTCTTTAGAGCTCAAGTAACAAACCTTGTTAGCAGCATACATCTGCTACATCCATGAAGGGGTGTTACCTGACAAAAACTTAGATGGATATATAATTTACCGATGCCTCCCAGTCTTAAAATTCTTAGTGATTATTGTTGACCCACAAAACTATCTGCATGGCGTGTGTAGGTAAAGAATTCATTGGTACAAATGGCTAACTAGTGGACTGCACGAATGTGTTGATGAATGATGCTATGCACATTTTGATCATCCTGTCCGATCGAAAGGTTTCTGCTATCACAATGTGCCACTGAGGTCACAATATATATGATCAGAGAAATTTCATGGTCTTTGAGAAGTACCGACAGATACCGATTTTTCAAGTTTAAAACATGGTACCTTAAAGTACCTAAGTTAATAATAGGTATCAAAATGTGGGAGCACCTGGTAGCTCGTTAAGGACCGTAAAAATCACACTCTAGAGAGGTATATGCCATGTGTGTTTCTTATTCATCTGAATTTTGCCCTTTAATTAATTTCTCACCTGGTAGCTCTAGTGTGGCCCTTTTTTCAGATAATGGAAATGGATTTCCGGCTTCTATTATAAGACACACAGCCATATGTTTAATAGTAATAAAAAAGGGTTAATTCGATCCATGCCATTGGAAATATGGCTATTTAGACAAATGCCATTACAATTCGTGTATTCGTTGATGTGCCATTGAAATTTTATGAAATTGGAACCGTGTCACTGCCATCACGTTTTCCATCCTCTTCCTCATTTGCATGTGGGACGCACATGTCATATTCATCATCTTCCCCATTATCTCCTCTTTTCCCCATCTCTCTCGATCCCGGATCCTTCACGCAGGCGACGAGATCGCGCGCCTCGAGAAGGGGCCTCCCGGCAGACTCGGCGGCGGCGGCGGAGGAGGAGACCGTGGCGGTCGAGCGGCGCCACGGCCCGAGAGAGATGGAGCTCGGGGGCAGATGGCGGCGGGGGAGGGGGTGGGATGAAGAGGAGGAGAAGAGAGGGGAAGAGGAGGATACGGCTGCGGTGGCGGTGGTGGCCAAGGGCGGCGCCATGGGAGGAAGGTGAGGTCCGTGCGCCTCCAGATGCTTCTTCCTCCCTCGTCGCGGCTCGGCTTCGGATCACGAGCGGCGGCGGCGGCGGCGGGAACATCCGGAGGCGGCGGAGGCAGGCATCCCTATGGAAGAAGAAGACGCGACGACCCCTACGCCGAGCTATGCATCCAGGAAGAAGTCACGAGACGCGAGAAGAAGAAGAAGTCAAAAAGGAAAGAGAGGATGGAAAAAGTGACGGCAGTGGCACAGTTTCAATTTCGTAAAATTTCAATGGCACATCTACAAATACACGAATTGTAATGGCATTTGTCTAAATAGCCATATTTCCAATGGCATGGATCGAATTAACCCATAAAAAAGGGTAAAGATAAATGTGAATCAAAATGAGAAATAAGGTGATGGCACAAATCCCCAACTCCCCTTTATTATTGACTAGCGTTAAACCACAAAAAAATTTTTAGCTAGCAATTCTAATGAAACTATGTCACCCATAGTGGAATAAGAGACCATTGTCTACTGATTCCAAGAGTGTAGTACCATTGCACATAATATCCTGCTCCTCGTGTGGTAGCATCGTAGACCAAAAGTGGAGCTAGTAGGAAGATATGAAGATAACCTGTATATGGTTAGATAATTTTGTATCATTAAAAAGTTTATCATTACGACAACGCCAAATTGACCAACATACAGCAAAAATATTTTGGGCGTTAACGGGTGGAGGGATATTAAAAGCAAAAAACACACATCCCCAAACAAACTTAGCAACATGACACTCAAAGAAAATATGTTGGTTTGTCTCTTGTGCATAGAAGTAAGAACAATGTTTGTCTCCCCTCCATTTTCTTTTAGCCTGATTATCTTTTGTTAGAATTACTTTTCTTGTGAAGAAACCACATAGAGACCTTGATCTTTAGTGGAATTTTGAAGTCCCATAGAATTCTCTTTTTATCTGAACATTAGAGTTCATGATCGCGACATACATAGATTTGATTGAAAATTGGCCATTCTTATGGAGCGACCATACAAAGCAGTCCTTTTCATTTGACAGAGTTATATTAGCTAGCCTAAGGATCAAATCGTTCCACTCGATTAGCTTTTGGCCACCTAAAAGAGATATTTACCGGCGTTGTGCTCGTAACCTCCACCAAAGTAGACTGCTTCTTTCGAGCCACATTATATAATGTAGGGTATTGATCTTTGAAAGCACGCGATCTCAACCACGTGTCTTCCTAAAATCATATGATCGTCCCATTGCCACATCTAAAAGAACCAAACCTATGAAATTGGTCTTTGACTTTCATTAAACCGGCTCAGAACTGAGAAATACCTATCTTGCTGAACATACCAGAAAGAGGTTTACCCTTTATGTATTTATTTTGCAAAAGGTTTTGCTATATGCCTTCACCATTAAACAATTGGAAAAGCCATTTGCTTAATAAGCAACTATTTTTTATATCAAGGTTATGGACACCAGGGGTGGTGCTAGAAAGAAATGGAGGAGGGTGCCTCTTGCTTAATTTACTCTACTTTAGATCAAGTTTAAGTTGATGCGTGTGCCTAAATTTGTATTGAGGGGAGTACACACATGGTGAAAATTTGTGAGTTATAACTAAAAATTTTCTTGATCGGGTTCCTGGGCACCCCCTTCCAATACTCTACCTCCGCCCCTGATGGACACCTAGTCCACCTTGATCATTTGGTCGGCATATGTTTTCCCACTTAGTTAGTCTACATTTTATTTTCCGGTCATCATTTTTTTTGAAAGGAACACAGCAGGGGAGGCCCCCGCTGTTAAAATTTTCTGGTCATCATTACTCCAAAAAAAAAAACTTCACCTAAAGTAATCCAATCTTTGATGCACACCTCGTGGAATTTCAAAGAAGGATAACATAAACAGGGGAAGACTTGAAAGAACTGAGTTTAGAAGGACTAATCTCCCATCGTATGATATGTTTCTGCCTTTCCATGTGCTGAGTCCCCTCTCAAATCTATCTTCAACTCCTTTCCAATCAACATTCCGGAGTTTCTGATAATGAATGTGTATACCAAGATATCTAAAGGGGAATATCCAGAATTACAACCAAATAGTTGTCTATATTCATCCTCCACTTCCTTGGTTTTCCCAAAGCAAGAAATCTTACTTTTATGAAAGTTTATTTTCAGCCCTGAGAGTTGTTCTAACACACACAAGTTGGCCTTCATGTTTTTGGCTTGTTCAAGGTCATGTTCTAGAAAAATTACTGTATCATCAGCATATTATTTTTTTTAGATAATGGAATAAATATCCCGGTCTTTGCTCAACAGAGCTAAAAAAATTATTACAAAGTATCACTCTAACAAAGAGTGTAGTTCAAAAAGAATTAAACACACCCAACAAAATAAAAAGACCAAACCAAGATAAGGAGTACACATTTATTCAAGTCTATTTGTGAATCTCCATCCATAGTTTGCAAAAAGTTGCATAACCGTTGTCTCAAGCCTACGACGTGCAACCTTCATAAGCTCTCTATCATCTTCACACTTTTGTAGCTGTGCCCAAAATCATCAGCATATTATAGAATGGACAAACCATCCTCCACTAAATATGGAATGACTCCTCTAATTTGATCATCGCCTTTAGCGCAAAAATCTAGTATTGCCCTTTGTTTCGCACAAAAATAATTTTTCGTGTTAATTGGTTATATATATGAGGCGGTTGCATACATTGGTTTCACTATAAACCACTAATGCTCAAGGATCATTTGGAAACACTAGAGAAATTTCTGTTAAATTTTTACTGGGTTTCCTATGAATAAGTTCAATTCCCACAAGAATCAGGAATTCCATGTTCCAAACTCATTATTTGAAGCTTGGGAAACCTCATGCAACATTTTGTAGTCCAGGAAACAAGTTAGGTGTTGCACGCATATATGTGCTTCTTGAGAATGAGTGGTATCAAGAAGGGAACAGCTGCAGCAAAATGACGTTGGTGGCTAACCTAGTAGTTTTCGTCAGAGTGATTAGCACTAAGATGGTTGCCATGGAACCTGCCTGATTCCTGTGCTGTATTGAATAAAAAGTTAGTAGAGGCTTGCAGGTGGAAATGGCGAGGGGTCAGCAGAAGGCATCATACACTCAGAGGGTGTTGGAGTACTTGGAGAATTGTGCAAATTAACTCAACTGACCAGAGTTAATTAACAGTACTGTTGAATGCTAGAATTGATATCTCATGAATTAGGACATGTAGAAGTGCATCATCAATTAATAGCTAATATATAAGCTGCCAATTAGACCAACTAGCTGCCGATGCGCTGGAGGGTGAGGAGAGACAAACATCCATGTTAAGTTTATTAAAATCAACTCTTAGCGCAACACTTATAAAAGAAAATCCCGTTGCATGAGGGTTGAAAAAGGAAGAAGGATAATAACAAATTGTTTTAGTCGATTAATGGTTAGTCTTCATGGTGTTGATTACTATAAGGGCATTTTCTCTAGATGATGTGTACTGTCTAGTAGCCCATATATGACGGGTTCAATAGTTGTGTTGTCCTTACAAATTTGTCACTTATTGATAGTTCCATTCCAGGTGACAAAGCTGAGCTCAAATTGTAGGCTTTAAATTTAGTTTTACTTTCATGGGTTTTCTTGCCCGGCTCTCTTTTCATGGTCATTAAAAGACAAAAGAAAAACGTTGAAATTCCAAGGCTAGCTCCAAACCAGCTTAATTTGAGTTGCAAAAGCACAGTAGTGTCGGTGAATAATAGATGTACTATTATTGCTACCTGTACATGAATTGCCAGATGTTGCCTGCCTTCACATTTATTTCTTGTTTTATCTTTCTGTCCTGATATCAGCATGCTTTTCACCAAAATGCACTACCAGAAAAGCTATCAGGAGGGAGCTAGACCATTTTTGATCTCCTAACACCCTATTTAACGGTATTCCCTTCAACACTGATAGTGTATAACCGTTGAGAATTGTTTGTTGCTGCTGCTAGTGATGCCTCAAGCTACCATGTATTATCTCTACTACTTTGAGAGTTGAATCGTCGTGTCCTTCTTCCATCCTCTTCCCTATCGTGTGTACACAAGGTCCCACTCCTTCATGTTTCCCTTTATTCTAAAACCACCCAACTAGCCAATTCCCAATCATATAGGCTGACCCATTGCAAAGCACATATATATTACTAGTATATAGAAACATCTAAAAATGAGCACCATCCATCGTTATAGTTTGTTTTGGCTTGCAGAATGGGCAACCTATACATTCAGTAGTAATCATTTGTTCTACATACTCTTCTATTGTAAAATGGCATGTACAAACTCCGATTCTTAGGATTCCGACTACACTACTACAGGGGTATACTCCTGTTCTTTATTCCCATGGCCAAAATTTATCTTCAAAGATATCACAAAAGAATACGATTCGCTTTTAATTTTGTCCTATTTAACTGAATTAAACTAAAATGTGATTATCATTTGTTTCTGTCATAGATGGATCGATGAACGGCAACATGGGCATTTGTCAAGGGTTTGTTTCGGAATGTGTGGCAACAGGAAGTCAAAATCTTATCAATGCATAGTCAGAGATAAGTCAGCAAAATTGTGCGGTCCAAAGAAAAGGACTTTTTTGTGTGCATGCAAACCCATGTACATATTCCATGACTCTGCCCTATCGACGGTGAGTTTTTAAGCTATGGTACAGCTTCTTGCTGATCTCCTGAGTATAGCTCTCGGTGCATCCACCCATTGATCCCTTCGGTATTAATTCCTTCATTTCGTGCATCAGTTCATGTGTTTCCCTTTGATTTTTCATCGGTGGAATGAAAACCTTGTCGTAGATAATGAATGGGTGGTCTTCTCATTACCTGCAAACAAAGGGGTAGGGCCCATCTCTGTGGACGTTCGATTTTCAAGCCTCGTCCAGAGAAGACACAACCTTTTTTTCCCAATCGAGGATATAACTGAAATGGTGCTCTCATGTCCTAAGACACCAACAAGCAAAATTATATTATTCCTTCTATTACACCTTTTTCCAATTGCACTAAATTGAATAAATTGTTCCCCACAAAAAAAAGAATAAATTGTTTCCAACATAATTCATTTGCACCAAATGGTTCCATACACTACTGCAGGAAACTAAATCAGTGTTAATTTGCACAGGCGTTTAGTGAACCACAGATAACATCATTTCATGGGAAACCAACTGTCCATGGATATACATTTCCAGAGACGTGTTGTCTTAGCCGACCGCCTTTAAGAAACATCTTTACAAGCGGTATATTGGGGGTCTAGAGGAGTGAGTTCATGCGGGGATTGGTCTTTAATTCTAGTTCCATTTTTACTTCTAGTCCCTTGTTTGATAGTCATAATGAGAAATGATCATGGAGAGTGTGAGTTAGAAATGGATTTAAAGTGTTAAAAGGGTGGAAGTTTGCTCTCTCCTTGCAAATCCCTCCTGAAACTCACACACCAGCCACACAAACATCTTACCTAACAACCCCAACCCTTAAACTCCCATTTCCTACTAACTGTTCCCACCAACCAAACATGCCCACATATATACCTCCACTTGGTGCAAGAATAAAATATTTGGAGAGACATGCGTCTAGAGTGAATAGTATGTGGAGAGCTTGAGGATCTATATATATAGCGCTACCCACTTTTGAATATTAGAGAGGTATATACATATAGCATTGTCATCCGTACTGGTCATATAGATATGATTTTTTTAAGACAAACAAAAAAAACATACAAATATAATGGAAGAATGGTGATGAACATTACATGAGGCAGTTTTGTAGTCATGTATATGATTCTTGAGAATGAGCGTCGTCAGGAAGGCCGACAGCTGCAGGACAAAAAACCAATGGTAATCCTAAGATCTTTTGATCTGAGGAATTGATTTTAGAAAACATGACTAGAATGTGCATCAAAGATGCATTTGTTACAGATGGACTTCACGCAGCTGTCGCATCATCCATATTTTCCATGCTGATGTATAATATATAGATAGTTAACCTCAGGTTCAGCAAATTGCCTGTCAACATTTTATCTGTTGCAGTTCATATTTTCATACAACCCATTTGCCCGATCACTTTGTATTCTCAGCAAAGTGAACCATATGGTAAAGATGTGACACCATGCCTATTTAGATATTTGTTTGTTCAGTCTTGTCCGAAACACATGATCTATTTGCCGGATCTAATATAGTTCATATGTAATAACTACATGTATATTTAGACAAAAATTCTATGATTCATTGAATTGTAAAATGTCAATGTTTTCCCCAATTCCATGGAAAAGCGGATGATTGACCTCTTTTGAGATGCACCACTTACCACTCCATGTATAGATAAAATCTCAACCGGCGGTTGGATAGATGGGGTTTGTTTTGGCCTAATTCAAATAACACACAAGCCACAACAACTAAGTTGCTTCCCTAAAACATAATTATTTTCTGGTAACATATAAGGTTGAGTATAATTTAATAACATTTCATTTTACACAAATCTGCACGAGATATTTGTCTAGGCCATGAATATGTTGACACATTAAAAAATAATACAGGTAGAAAAACAAGTATTAACATGGTACACATATGAAAACAGAATGCTTCACAATTTTGTAACAGTAAACAGGAAAACATCCCATTGGTCATGTTTTAATAATTTCATATACAATTAGTTTGATTCGAGGTAAGTTCTCTTCGAACCAAGCATGGCACACTTTCTTGTGGAATGATGTGCTTTCAAAGTTCAATGTAACATTTTAACCAATATGGTATACATCTGAAAAAGAAAAACCAACAGCTACATGAAACAAGTGTAGCATAAAAAAGAACCTCAATTAATTATTATATTTTGTCATGTGTATTACTCCTTAAAAACACGGTTATAATAATTTAGTTGAGCCTACCAAAGTAGAAACTCCACATTCACTGCTAGTCGACGTATAGTAATAAAATTGCATTACTGATGAAGGAAATTGCCCGATGAATTGTCAGTGATGGTGTTGAGAGCCCGCTGGCATCGATCTACTCCTCACTAGGATCTTTTAATAAAAAAAAACTATAGCATTCTCTGTTAGACAGGCCCTGTAAGCTTGTTGTGACTGACTACGTACATCCAAGACTATGGCATTGTCTTAATCTTTGTAGTTTGCCTGTCTGATCTGCAGTATCTTGTTTTGCATCCTGGCATTCATGGGTGCAACAGTCTGCGTTGCTAGGTAACCATATGCAGTAGGTTTCTCTCATTTTCTTCACTAGGTTTCGAGCTATCAATTACATTTTGTGAACTTATCGACACAATAATGGAAGAACGGAATTTAAAGGGTTGTAATCATGCCACCAATAGTTAGGCTCTCTTTGGAATGTTGGTATATTTTTTTTATTCCGGTATAGGAATAAGGTTGCTTGTTCTAAGCAATATTCCTATTACTTGAGGAAAAAAAATGCATTTATTCATGTGGTGTCACGTAGTTTTGTTTTTCACAGCTGAAAACATGAAGATAATAAATGGTGAAGACATATTCTTAGGGCCTCTTTGGATTTCAGGGTTGTCACGGCAATCTTGGAGGAACACTGTTTACAGAATTTTTTCCATTTGCTGTCCTCTGGGTCACATGAACCGGCCACAGGAAAATTGAAGGAAAGTTTCCCTCGCTAACGACTTCACGGGAAAAAACACATGAAACAGTCCATCCAGTCCAAGATCTTTTTCATTTCCTTTGCGTGGGATTGAGGCAATCAAACGATAGAAGCAAGATCTTATGAATTATGAACCGTGGAAGATAAGAGGAAGAAGAAGCAAAACCAAACAAGAACCGAAGAAGAAGAAGAACAAGAAGAAACAAAATATGGTGTGAAATACATAAGACTCGGATGGTCGAGAGTAGTCAAAAGAACAATATATGTTGCATAGATAAAAAGTGTTTCATAAATAAAATAGTAAGAAGGCTATGTGTGGAGAGAGAGGTTCCAGATAAGAAGAACCGTATATACCATACATGTTCATATTTCACACGAAAAATCATAAAGATCAAAGATTAAGGAAGAATATTGTCTTAGGCAAGAAAAAAGCATCTATCAAATCACATGTTAGTATGCAAGTTGTCCGTAAACTTGTATTTCCTTACAGGTACTTTTCCCTATACCCTAATTGTTTTCTGGATCCATCAACATCGTAACATTCATGAGGAACTCACAGCACTCACGAGATCTATCAATATTGTTAAAATTTTTCTCGATCGGTCAATGTTGTTATGACTTTCTGGGTTGGTTAATCGTCAGAAAGGATTCTTCCCTATAAGGCTGTGTTTAGTTCCTTCCAAAGTTGGAAGTTTGGGTTGAAATTGGTATGATGTGACTGAAAAGTTTTGTGTGTATGACAGGTTGATGTAATATAAAAAGTTGGAAGTTTGGATCCAAAGTTTAGATCTAAACACAGCCTAAGACTCTGGCAAGATACCTCAGCCTAGACCTGTCTGGATCTCACGAGGAGCATGGTCACCTACTCATCTATGTGTAGTAAATATCCCGAGTGTGTTAAAGAGACACACTTTTGACATTTTGGCAACAGGTCAAAAGAATCCTTCAATAATAAAACATAGTAAACAATGAAATGTAATCAACTGCAGTTCTAGCTTTAGAGTTCAAGTAATAATATGCTGCATTCGTGAAGGATTTGCATAATTACCACATAAAATGAGACGGCTAAATTACTGATGCATCCAAAGATTAAATCTCATCCTTGTTGTTGTGCTGCGAAATTAAGTATCTGCATGTGGCTACTGGCTTGTGCAGGTATATAAAATTCATTGGTGTAGGATCAAATCATAATAACTAAGCCAACCAGAGGGGGGGTGAATGGTTGGTATACCCAAAAACCGAAAACTTTTAGCGGAAATAAAAGTTACCCTCGAATTCGACGGATCGCGGTCTGACCAAAGTGTATGCGCCGATCTGACCGCCTGATGAACGTCGGTCTGACCGATGTAGATCGATCGGTCGAACCGCCGAGATGCTCGCCGTGCCTATCGCCGCCGCCGGTCTGACCGCCGTACTCCTGCCGGTCTGAATGCCGCTTGCCACCGGTCTGACCGCCGGTTAGACCGCCGAAACCCGGTAAACACAAATCGAAGAACTCTTAAAGTGGATGATGACTTTATTGATTCTCTCTGTGTTTACAAAGTGCACCAACAGCAATCCTTACAAAAATTTCAACTAAACTCGAAACCTTAACTCAAAACTCAACTCAATTGCTCTCAAAAGCGACACCGGGAAGCCTCACGCTCCCCCTCTATTTATACCCGAGGTAGGCAGCCTAAAGCCACGAACCAAACTCATACAAAGAGTCCTAAGCACCTTTGGAAACCCTCTAGTACAAGAAAGAAATTTTACATAACCAATCATATCAAATTCGGACTCCTTCCAAATTCGACTTCGCATCCCATACGCACACAATACCTCCATCGTATGCCATATGAAATCTCCATCAATCACGTGCATCAACTCTAGCCTAAGTATCCCGCATGATCTTTGACCACCACGGACGTCGTCTTATCCCCAAGCCGACTCCCGGTCCATCACCGCAAATACTCTCCCGAGACATCGAGTCACCTACACATGGAACAAACAAAGAAACCATATTCCGAGACCAAGCTATCTCCAACTTGACTCATTAGTAGCAAACAACAGTATTACATACGTATAGTATCCATCTAGAAGTCATAATCATGAAATAATCACGGATATCCAAACAAACAACCCGAAACCGAAACCGACACAGCGTCGGCCGGTCAGACTGCGGGCTGGCTGGTCCGACCGCTCGATCACCGCCGGTCTGACCGGCATACACAACCCGGTCTGACCGGTCACATAAAATGATAGAATCCTGTGATCACCTGTGAATCCAATCATCTCCAAAACCATTTCGTGAATAAATTCCAAACAACAAAACCAATAATCTCCAATGCCCAATTGTTCATCACAGAATAATAATCAAAAACACCTTTGATTTTACAATTGGTAAAGATAAAGGCTAGCTGACTAGTGTACTGCATGAACGAGTTGAACAATTGCTGTTATATATGCATGGTTTGATCGTGTTGTCTGCTGCAAAGATTGCTGCTACCACAATGTGCTGCTGACATCACAGTACATATATATGGTCAAACTCTACAGAGGTCTATGTTTGTGAGATCAATGTGCCTTTGCTTTCGTCTTCTGAGATGTTCATCTTCATAATATCATATGGGATGCTCTAGTATTGTCTTCTGTATCACACAAACAATAAATTTTCATGTTAAATGCTTATATATTTGTGGTGGTTGTATACATCAGTTTTGCTATATATCGGTCCTCAGGGATCGGACCATTAATTTGGAACACTGAGTTTTAGGTAATTTACTAGAACTTCGTAGGAAATATAGTTTGATTTCGGCCAGCATGAATCGGGCAATGATCTATGTTCGAACTTCAACCTCACTGCAACTTTTTCATGTATATGTGCTTTTTGACAACACTCTCGAGGCGCCTGAACTGATAATGGTGGCTAGACTAGAGGCATTTCATTTGTTCGGCATGATCATATATATAGTCTGCATCAATAATCTTTTCATCTGGAAACAATATATACCCCTGACTTATGTATAATTGTCCTAAGAGCATCTTTCCCATCCTTGAGGAGGTACTACGAGATACCATGAGGTACCAATCTAATTTAACCGTTGATTTAGCACGGGTATGATCGGCTAACGAAAATGAGGTACCGCTGCTTATCACCGCCCACTCGACCAATAACGAGTTCCTCTGTGCCGCCCTCTTCTTCTCCCTTCCATCTGTCGCATCGCTGTCACATCGAGGACTCCGCGGCGGCGCCGCATCGAGGCTGGTCTCCCGCCGCGGCGCCATCGCATTGACCCCACCGCGGTCGCCTGTCGCATCGAGGCCGGCAGTGGATTCCGCCTTCAGGAGCTACGAGACGCGGGCCGCTATGCTCAGCTTCGACACTGGCGATAACCCATGCTCGCCGATGATGGAATCCAGCACCGCCTCGCTGAGCGTCCTGATCTCGATCTGCACAAGCCCGACGATTTCCTCCTCTCGCGAAACAGACAAGACGGGAAAACACGAAGAAGAAACAGATGCCATAGTGAAATTAGATTTATCAAAAGGTGTAGGATGCCTTGCAAGGGAACTCACATGAAGGCAAAAAATTTGAGTTTGGTGCTTTGATCTGAAAAGAGGGAGGAATTGGGAGGAGGGTGAAAGGAAATAATGCCTAATTCAAAGAACAAGACTCATGAAACGATATTATTTACATCAGATCCAAAATTTTTACCTTGTTTTTTGTTCATCAATATCGAACTGCCAATTCAGCTTATAGGGTAGCGTACATCCATTTATGTTTGATCCAACAAACCCCACAACACAAATCATAGCAGCAAGAAGGACCGCTGGAAAATGAACAATAGCAACAAAGAACAATTCAAGGTGTCCCCACGCAAGAGATCAGCCAAAGATCGAGGGCGGCTTGGATCAGCTCGGTACTGAACCAGCGGCGGTGGGAGCGGACCAAGCGGAGGGAAGTCGAGCCAATCCGGCTAGTACTGTGTTTTGCATGCTCAGCTCGTCACTTTGGCCATCCCCTAGTCGCTCTTGTTGCCTACCCGCTTGCAAACTCGAGGATCCTGGTCGTTCTTGCCGCCGCCCTCAGCCAGATCCTGGCAAGGTGAGGTGCGAAGAGGAAGGGGATGGGCTCCCAGGCAACGCCGCTGACTACGCGAAAATACAATTTTGCCCCTCAATGAACTCATCCATGTGGAGTACCTGGTGGACGCTGGGGCAGTACCGGGAGGTACCGATTCCTCTCAGCCGTTCGATTCTGGTTAATCTACGGCTCTTATTTGGTACCTCCCTTCCTCAAGGATGGTAAAATTTCTCTTATCAGCCAATCCTAATATCCAGATCAAGGTTTCTGCTTCTCAGATTCACAAAATATCAGACTCAGCTACACTGGTCCTCCCTGAAAGCTGTCTTTATGTTTTTCTGCAGTAACTTTGTGATGACATTTGCTACATGCGGAGTGATTTCATATTGCGAAATTCTCAAGTTCATTTCTCAAGTTCATTTGCTACATAACATATCTCCATATTGCGAAATTCTCAAGTTCATTTCTCAAAATAAATATAAGAAATTGTAACTAATATTTGTGCCCCTAAACAATCTAAAATAAAAAAATGTTTTCCACAACAAAGGTGTAGATCTTGCTGAGAACTATAATTTTCATATAAAATTTTCTCCTTCCGACTTCATATGTAAAGGTTGTATTTTTTTTAACAAAAATAGGTTATCTTCATTTTCAGGGACATATCTTTAAACGAACTGTTTGCGATAATCATCCTATTTCCACTGGTGGTTTTCTTAAGTAGTCACCTATGAAAATCATTTTCCACAAGGCGGTTTGAGACCTTTGCGCTCTATTTGTATTGTTACAAACGGATTTTCTTATAACTCACGCTTA